TATCCTACCTGACTTCCAAATTTCCTATAAGACTACAGTAATCAAAATGATTTGGTATCAGTGAAAAGATAGATAAATAAATCGATGGAATAGGATAGTAGAGAGTTTAGTAACAGATCTAATTATATGTAGTCAACTGATTTCTGGCATGGAAGCCAAGACAATAACAATGAATAAAGGAAAGTCTTTTTAATAAAGTATGCTGGATGAACTGGATAGCCTTATTAAAAAAAACAATTAATGTTGACCTTTATCTCATGCCATACTCAAATATTAAATCAAAATGGGGCGTGACCTATGTGTAAAATCTAAAACTTCAACACTTCTAATAGCAAGAGATCTTGTGATTTTTATATAGGTAAGGGATTCTTAGAACACAAAAGTATAAAACATTAACAAATCAATAAATCAAACTTTATCAAAATGAAAAGTATTCACACTTTGAAATACATTATCTAGAAAATAAAAAGGCAAGTCACATGCTGGAAAAATGATCTGCTCATATCTATCAAAGTACATGCATGATCTATAAGAACTCTTACAATTCTGTAACCAGAATTTTTTTAATGGGCAGCCATTTTTTAAATGGGCAAAAGACACCTCACAAAGGAAGATGAATAAATGGCCAATAAGCACCTGAAAATATGCTTGTCATCATCAGTCATGAGGCAAAGCAAGTTAAAACCACAATGAAATACTACTACACAACCACTTAGAATGGCTAAAATTTAAAAGGCTGACCATATATTGGCAAGGATGCAGGACAACTGGAACTCTCATTCACTGCTGGAGGGAATGTGAAATGATTAATATCACTCTGGAATGCAATTTGACAGTTCAGTTTTTTTTCTCTTTAAGTTAAGCATACACCTACCAAATAACCCAAGCATTCCACTCCAAGGTATTTAACTAAGACAAATAAAAATAAACACCCACACCAAATCTTTACATGCATGTTCACAACAGCTTTATACGCAGTAACCAAAATCTAGAAACAACCAAACGCCCACTAAAAGCAAAAGTGGATGAAAAAATTGTGGCTTTTTCATATTTGGAATACTGGTTACAAAAAAAGGGAAAAAGCAAAATAATGGTACATATGAAGACATGTGTAAGTCTCAAAAATGGTATACTGAGCAAAAAAAAAAAAGCCAACCTAAAGAGGGTGCATTCATTTATAAACATTCTTGAAAAAATAAATAAGCTATAATGATAAAAAAGCAAATTAGTGATTCCCTAGGGTTAGAGTAGAAGAGATGGCTCATAAAAGTGTGGAAGGAAACTTTTGGGTGTGATGGCAATGTTTATTTTCTTGATTATGATGATGGCTTCAGAAGTCTATATGCATGTCAGAACTGATTAAATGGTGCACATTTAAATTGTACATTCTTATAGTTTATTATACTTTGATTATACCTCAATAAATAAAAATCTCAAGGATTCTGACCTAAATGCATCTAAACTGGAAAAGGTGAATAAATGGGAAAGCTGTTCTCTAGGGAGACTATGTCTACTAGCACACAATTTCTTCAAAGTATGCACTTTGGAAAATATATGCAGTAAAAAAGATACAGGGACGTCACAAACTGGTAATCAAATCCTTAGTGAAATATTTGAGATGTACTTTAAGGTAAGTTTTCAGGCGTTATAGAACTACTGAAATAGTATAGCTTTTATAAATTATTATACATTGATTTCTTCGAAGAGAATTTCATGTAAAAGTCCTTTCTGAGAAGTTTGAAAAAAATGAAAAATTTCATAAACGAGATTTTCCACTCAATTGTCATCACATTCCTCTTATTCCTTTCAAAGAAATAAATAATCTGCCTAAAGATAGACAACTGTTAAAAGTATAAAAGACTTGTAATAACATGTTTTGATTTATTAAAAAAGGGAAAAAAGATTGAAAAACAGTGCTTTGAAAACTTGAGTTATAATGGCTACAACTTGATATTTAGATAAAAAAACAAAAACAAAAACAACAAACAAAAAACTTCCTGTTCAAAGGACTCCAGAAGTAACACACTACTAAGGTGGTGTAGCTTTTCTTCTAATTTAGATTTTCTTGACATTTTTGAACTGCATCATCAAGCCAGAAGAAACCAAGGCTGTTGATTAGGGTTGAATGCATATTTTGTGCCTGCATGAAAGTGTTCATCTGTTCAGACCATGTTCCACTCACTAAGGTCCATACCTATGTACTACCTCTCTCTCTAGAGAAGGCAAATTTATCTAATTCCCACAAGGTACCTTGTAAACAAGCAGTAGTCCAGGAAGAAGCGCTTCATTTACAAGTCATAAAGACCACTTAGAACTTTTGACTGATACATGGGTCACTGTTGTTCACTAATACCATAGTGTATAAGAATATTTAAAATGTCAAAGTTGTAAGATGATAAAAAAGAATACAAGTTATAATAATACTTAAGAAAACTACATATCAGTGCATAATTAAATTAACATATAACCACGTATATAAATAAAATTAATAATAGTATTTTAAGCACTTCACATACATATGCTCATTTTTAATAAATACTTAGATTACTATTCCCATTTGAAGATTGAGAAATTAAAACTTACAAAAATTAATTACACACAGAAACCTGATTAAGCTAGGTACTGCAATTCAAAATCAAACTTTTCTCATTCCAGAACCAATTCTTGTATTCATTCTGCTATGCTGAAATTATATAATCTGAATTACGGTCCTGCATATTAATTTTGGCATTTTCATATAAACTAATCTTGTGATTCTTTTAAAAACATTCTCAGTTTTGCTTTTATCTGTTTAAGGCAGAATTCTTAAAAGTCTTCAGATTGCAATTCATATTAAATAAATGTTCTATTTAAAGTTCCAGAGGGTTTCATGCAAAGCAGCTTAATAAACTTATTTTTGCTACTCACTGTCATACTCACTAAAGGTTTCACTAACGAGCCTTTGAAGATTATTTTTCTAATGGCTTAACAGTTTTTCCAAATAAACAGCTGGAATTACTTCAAGATTCAGAATATGATTTATGTTATTAGAAAGTCAAGAATTAATCAAAGAGAGTAATAATAATCTTTGATTCTAGTACCTCTTCTTTGGTAATTTACCAGAAGCCTCTTGGCTAGAGGTATTTTGATCAGCAGTGGTTGAAAACATATGGAAATATTTTAGGGAAATCATTTTTATGTGTTCTAGTTGTTGATACTATAACGCACCTATAAAACACAGAGGCATTTACTGCACATTTTTTAATATGTAGCATCAGGTTCAGTTATTTATGTTGAAAAAAGAACTTACTATGATAGTCTGTAACTACACATCAAAAGCTCTAAACTGGACCCCAGTGAGCATGAGCATAGTATATGGCAAGGAAGGTGGAGGATAGTCTCGTTCTGTGTGTGTTGGGGGGTAAGGAGTCAAAAATAAAAACTAAATGACATTCACCTAGAATTATGTTCAGGTAAAACTAGAAGTCTCAGTACTATGAAACTGTATGGAAAAGAAATCTAATTAACATGTACATATGTCAAACACTATCTTTTAAGGCTAGTAAATTCTGAGAATTAATAAATATTAATTTGCATATTTCCATCCTAATTTCCTCTTTATATGTCCTATTCATTTATGATGAGCAAAATCTACTCTTAATCTCCATTGTTTAAGGCTCTGCAAATATGTACAGCAATAAATTAAACGAACTTATGAAATGAAACTATGTACTGATTTAGCCCTTCCATATTACTCATTTATGTTCTATGAATATAAGGTGTTGTTGGGTTATAAAAATAAACTTAGCTTGTGAAACTGATGTTTAATTTTAAAATAGAATTTTGTAAGCTTAGAAATTAATTTGTTCATGATTATCATTTATCTAATAAATAAATATTCATGTATCATTTGTGTTCAATCAATGCATGATACTGGAAGACCTGACAGCATATTATTATATATTGCCTGAATCAATCAGTTTGTAATTTAATTTTGTATGATATAACGTGTTAAACATTTTGTTTGAAGTCAAAGGCTTGGGCACATACTAGTGCAGAAACTCAGAAACAAATAGAATTCCAAATAATCTGAAAATGTCACAAGATTTAATTCTATTTAAAATTATGCCATAGATTATGTATATAACTAAGTACAGGGACGTAATATTCTACTGACACTCTGAATTTATGTTGTGTTTTTTAAAAAACATACATGCTGTGTGTGTATGTGTGTGTATACATACACATATCAATAAAATACAACAAATGTCCCATGTAGAACTTGTCTATTAATCCATAATATATTACACAGCTTTACTTTGTTATACTTTGAAAAATGAATTACTCAGAAACTGTACAAAAATAATTAGAGTAATGAATAATATCTCAGGAGTGCATCCCTTTATGGGTCAGGACCCAGTTCTGTTTGTCCTGTTTATAATTGACTAAATGAAAGTTAAAGCAAGAGTTACCAGGTCCCACGACTGAAGGATTAGAAGAAATAATGTGATTATCATAATTGGTGAATTATAGTTGGAAAGAAACTTTTCACCATAACCTTCACATTATTAAAAAAGTGATTTTAAAAACTTACAGTTCACCTTTGGCAATATGGTCTCTATCTTACCTTGGAAACATTCACAAAGAACAGAGAAAGGCAACATATCTCACTTGTCCATTTTAATAAATTAATCTCTGAGAGGAGTGAAGATAATGTTCTTTACTCCAAAGGAAATAACAAAGTACTAAGAGGAATGCCAACTGCCCTTCCCAGGAGAACAGCATGCCTGAGTTTTAATCAACCCATCTCTGGAAACGTTTCCCAGGCGTTACAGTCACCATTGTCCACTTATTCTCTTCCGGAACAATAGAAAACATCACCACTATACCACAGAGGAAGAAAGTAGGTCACTCTTTAGAGTTTGTAACTTTGCTTCATGGCATATATTGATTGTTATTGCTGTTACTAACTCATTTCATCTGATTTAGTGATATTCAGCTTAAAGTCTGATTTATTTTACCTCAAAAACTTCTTCATCCAAAATCCTTGTTCCAAAAACCGTGATTCCATTGGTGTCAACGATTGCTCTCTCACTTCTGTCGAGGGGTTTTGTGGTTTTCTTCTTACAATCAACAATCATTGTCACAGTTTTCTTCTCCACGCTGATTGCTACCCGATGCCACCTGAAAAAGCCAAATAATTCTTGTGTAAGTTTCAAAGATATTGTTGCCAAACTACTATGCACACTGAAGTACAATGCATTTTAAATTATACAAGTGAGCTGAAATTGTACAAAATGTAGGCTCATTTATAGCTCAATCAGTAAAACAGGTGACCTCTTCCTATTTACCCAGAATAGTGCTAGGAGCTCAAAAGGACACAGCAGTGTAAGAAGCACAGCAGTCTTGGCTGTCTGTGCTGATAAGGAAGTGCCCAACCTTTGCTTCCCTGTGTTGTAACAAAAGCTTAATCTCACCATGTCCTGATGAGGGTATTTGATATAGAGATCAGGGGTGGGATATGGGGTAAGTAATAGTTTCTATGTACGTAAATGCTCTCTCCCAAAGTGGAATTCTACTTAAAGAAAATTCTGCTGAAGTGATCCCCTGAGATTGACTGTAAAAGGGTACGTCTACTAATTGAATGAATGCTCCATCTGGAGCAATTGAATGTTCTAATTACACAATGTGCTTCTCTGTCTTTATTCACATTTCTTTCAAGTGCTTTCGTTTTCTTTTTCCACTTTAATTTCAAGACTGTTGTAGATCACTGCTGTGGGCAGGATCCAAGACTGAGACACAATATCTCTCCTTCTTTGCAGGGTTGGCAGGAAGTGGGGACACTGAAAGCAAGCATAGTCAATGCATGTGTGGAGTGAGAGTCTCAATTCACTCTGAAGCTACTACTCCAGCTAATTCAGGGCAGTGATGACAGGCTTGGGGGGAGACATGGCCAGCCTTCTGGAAACATACATACCCTAATCATACTGTAAAACGGTTATTAGCAGTATCTGGTGCTAACATAAACAGCTAAGTGAAGCTCACTTGGATTTTGCAAGCCACTCTCGGTTTTTTTTTCCCAAATGAAAAGTGCTAAATTAATATTCCAGAAGTGTCTAGGAATAGATCCATAAAATAAAGTACACAAAAAGTGCAGCAGCCTTTCTAAATTGTCTGTTTCATGTGACTTGGCATGCACACTGACGAGGACCAAGTATATTTCCACATACGCTTAATCTTTGGTCTTTCCACAGCACTTTCAACTAGTATAGGCATCTGATTTGTTTGAATAGTCAAAGATTTACATTAGGAGGCACTTAATACTGTGAGAGTAAAATTTACACATGTTTCTGCCAAGAAGCCTGTGTCTTAAATTAAACCATCTCCTCCACCATTGTAGATACGTGCTTTTCATTAACAGAAAATAAAAATGGTTTCAATTGTTGAAAGCGGATTAGGACTCGAAATAATATTTTAGTTGAATTAGTTAAGCTCTAATAATAATGACATGTCATAATCATGGTGTCACATACAATATTCAAAATCCTAAATTAACCCTTAGTTTTGGAGTCATTCTGATTTATTCTCCTTCTCTCACACTATCACATTCATATCATCAGAAAATCTGCCAATCTTTATACTCAAAATACATACAGAATTCAGTGTCTCTCAACTTTGTCCGAGCCCCCATGTTGCTCACCTAGACCCCAGTAGGTCTTCACTTCCACTGTGATGCAACCAGAGTGACCATTTTAAATTGTAAGTCAGATCAAGTCCCTGCCTTGCTGAAAACTAATCTAATACTCCCAGTAAGAGCTGAAGTCCTTACTCTGCTTCGCCCTGACCCTCTCTGACCTCACATCAAACTGCTTTTGGACTCCTGCACTCCAGCCACACGGCTGCCTCCTCCTGGTTCCTGCATGTGTTCTTCACTCTGCCAGGAATGCTCCTCCTCCACAGCCCCACATGCTCACTCCCTCACTTCCAACATGTCTTTCCTCAATGCAACAATACCAAAGAGGATTGCTCCGGCTAAAACAATACACCCTACATTCCCAACCCTGATTTAGTTTCGATCGTAGAACTATCATCACTTTTCATATTAATTATTAAGGATAATGATGTAAATGACTCGTGAAAGCCTAGGTTTTCCTGGCACTGGGATGAAGTTTTCTCCATGGTCCTGACAGTGATATACTGAGTGAGAATATTTTTTTCCATCTGAACAGCTATTTCTTTTTTAGGCCTATAACCAAATATATTTCAGTTAAAGCTATTTTTGAAGCCTGAATTCAGCAATAAAACACCAAGTAAATTTAATAAATATTTATTTCTATTTAGCTGCTTTAAGCGATAGACAGTGTTCACAACACAGAATTCAGAATCCAGCATGATCTTCAGAAGAGCATGGTTGTTACTGAAGTCTGACTACCTGAGTTAACTGCCACTCTTCAAATATCTGTTACTTAAACTCCCAGTGCCTCACTTCCCTTATCTGTAAAGTGGGTTTATTAACATTATTTTCTTCAAAGAGTTGTGAAAAATTAAATGAGTTAACTATGCATAAAGCATTTAGAACAGAGCATAGCATACACTGAGTGTCATGTAAAGCTTCCTGTGACTGTCAATATCAAAGTGATTGCTAAAGGTACGTCAAATCAGGCCATTCCTCTGCTCAAAAAGTCTACAGTGACTTCCTGTTTCACTTGGAATAAAATCCAAAGTGCTTACAATCACCTACAATGTGTTATACCATGTGGCCTCCTACTGCTTCCCCTTCTGCATCAACCCACTCCGCCCCTGCCACACTGGCATTGCTGGGGTTGCTTAGACCAAATCAGCCACACTGGGAATCAGAGGCTGTGTATTTGCTTTTCCTACCCCTGGACCAGTGTGCTTTTAATAAGTAGCATGATATGCACTCCACCTCCTTCACATGTCACCTTCTTAGTGGGATTATTCCTGACCTCACTCCTCAAAACCGCACGTCCCAACCACCATCCCTTATCTCCTTCACTGCTGTGTTTCTCTTGCTCACTGATCACCATCTGATATACTATTTATCAGTAATTTTTTAATTGTTCATTATTTGTCTATCCAGATTATAGACTATGTAAGAGTAGGTAATTTATTGTTCTGTTTATTTCTATATCACCATTCCCTAGAAAATCTGCATCACACTTTATGAAAATTTGTTGAATGACCAAATGAAAGAATTGCTTTCAACAGCTGAAACGTTAGATTATTGCTACTTACTTTCCATCAGCAATGTTAACAGTTCTGAAGAGGGGATAGTCTTCTGGGGCTGGTTTCCCAGTGTGGTCTTCAAACAGGAAAACCGGTGATCTCCCAACCTCAACACCGAGCTGCTGAATACCATGCTCATTATATATAGACAAAAGGAAAGACTGAATTCCTTTTTTGGGTTTTATTGTAAATAGTATTGAAAAATCTTCTGGAAAAGTTCCTCCTGAGAAGAGAAGGCCAAAGAGTCAGAAATTCCAAATTTCCGAACTATTCCTGGACCATCTTATTATTTGTGAGCTTACTAAGTGCCCTCAATAAGTCACCAAAGTTCAAACGGTAATAAAAATACAAATTTAAAATCCAGTGGGGAGGGGACTCTGTTACGCTTTGTTTGCAATAATTGTTGAAGCTGTATTCAAACTTTACCACCACTTATTCAAAGCACAATGATTATGTAAAACTGAATTCAAAGTTAGGAAACAAGATCGTGGTGCCAGTTTGTTACCGCGAGGAGGGGAAAAAGGCCTCGGTTCTTTGCCTTACCTGACGAAAGAATGCGAACAGAAGACTGAAACGTTGTGGTAAACAGAAGATTTTATTAGCAGAGAAAAAGTTAGTAGAGTGCACCTTCAAGAATTGAAGGTGGGCCAACCCAAGAGAAGAAAAATGGCCTCACTCCTTTGCTTCTCCTGTCTTCTATCCTGGCTTAGGGGCGTTCTCTGACGGCTAGTGTCCCTTGAGTGCTCAGACGCGCCCATCTCCTTTGCGCATGCTCTTACCCAAGATGCACACAGAAAAACCCCTGGGAGGGGCCCAAACCGCAATGCTAATTAAATTATAATGAGCACTGGGTTATGTCAAGCTGGGTCCTTCTCTTTGCGCAGCCACAGCGGCCGCTTCTAACCGGCTTCTTTGTCGGCACTCATTTAGAGAAAGTAGAACTCTTCCAAGCCCCTTATCCTGGGCGCAGGTGTACCATAATTTTCTCGATTGCTCTCTTCCCTTTCCTCTCCCCTTGCCTGGTGCTGATTTCTAACTGCCTAATGAGTTCAATATCAAACACATAGTAAGCACTTTTGAAACACTTAAGTAGCACTTTTGGTGTAAGATTTGCATTTTCTGCCCCTGTCTAATCTGTGGCCATCCATCTTCTCTTTCAAGAGGCTTTGCAAGGACCCAATACATAAAAGTCACCTCTTCAAAAGCTAAAGAGTTTCTGACCAGTTATTCCTATCACACAATGAAGAAAGCTTACTTAAACCATTAGAGCTTTAGATACTGGTTGATTTGATTCTAAATTCAAGAAAGTATATTTTTTTCTTTTCTTTTCCCTCTCACCATCCTATCTTAAATATCCAGCATGGGGCCTGATCTACGTTAAGTGGTTAGTAAACATTTATTAAATCAATATATCAAATGATTGCCATAAATATCTCTCAGATAGTTAAGCAATGACTATTATATACATTTTTATAAAAACACTGCATATAAAATTGTGAAGTTTATTTTTCAAAAGTAGTTTTACATATATATATTACTAAGTCTTCTTACTACCTTGAGGCATAAGTAAAGCAGGTATTATTATTTGAAGAATGAGACTGTTTAAATTAAAACGTTTTCTATATGCAAAACTGGCATATACGTGCATGTGTAATCAATGATATCTGGGCCAACACCAAGAGCTTCCATATTCAGTCCATTCATTCCAAATTCTATTATATATAGTAGTATAAAATAATAAAAATGTTATGAGTATGACTGCCATGGAATAAAATTCAAAAGACTACAGAAGACCAGAAATTCCATGTCTAAGAATTTATAGGGGTAAGAAAGATGCTTCTATGTAAATATATTACGTTAAGTCAATTTATCAGAACACTACTTTTCAGCATAAAATGTTAAAATGACCTGCAGTGGTTAGGACTGATTAAATAGAATACAAAATGTCTATATATCTTTTGCAACCACTTAAAATAATGTCATGGAAAGATGTCTTATGAAGTGGAAATTATTTAAAATGTTGAAATTAAATAAGAATGTGTCACAAAGAAAGCAGTCAATTAATTTTAACTATTTGATTCTAATATATCTAGATCTAGATAATTATCTTCAAACTAAAAAAAAAAGTTTACTTAAAATTCTCAATTTTAATTTTTAAAATAGTTTACCAGTATAACTTCATTATATCACAAATAGGTCATAAAAGCCTTGCTCTCATGGCAATAAATATATGTATATATAATATAAAGAGAGGGAGAGTTTTGTTTGATTTGATTTGTATAGTTTAAATTTTATATTTAGGAAAATCAATAGAGGAAAAATAACCATTGTAAATAAAATGGAGAGTTAATAAACACATCAATTAACAAAACACATTTTACCTGCTTATACTACAAATAAAAATTAGGTAATTCAGCCTATTATTGAGGAAGTTTCATAGCAAATAAATTTGTTATTCAAATGAGTAGCTCAGAATGTTGAGAATCCTAAGACTTCTTTCCTTAAATGTACCTCAACTATTCAAATATCTCATACATTGAAAAAAATGATGTGAAAACAATATGAGCTAGGGAAAACTCTTTTTTTCATTTTTGCAAAAGCATTATGAAATAATGTCTACATAGAGACATTTAGAAAGTTTTGGGCAATAATGTACTCATATAAGACTAAAGAAATTGTAACGAATTTTAATTAATCATCCAATTTATACAGTACAGCTTCTGAGAATTGTCAACCTCTAACTACACTAGTGAGTAAAATCTTTCAATTATGAAAGTATTCCCCAATTTTAAATTCAGCAATAAGCTTTTAATTATAATGCTTAAGCTGACCTTTAAAAAAAATTTAGTTGTCTAAAAAATCATGATGAGGCCAGAATGTTCACAATGTAATCTAGGCGCCTCCCTTAGTCTCCTCCCTAGAAGATGCTATTTAGAGTTGTTTATAACCGACTAAATTTATCAGAGAGAATTCACTATGAAATAAGTTCAACAACAGAAATGCAACAACTTAAGATGTGAAATTTTATCTAAAATAGTAATGATCAATATACATGACACAGATAAAATGTGGAATTTTTCATCTTAAATAATTTATGTTTTGAAATGTATAAATACAAACTAAAAATAAAGCAAACCTCTCTGGTAAATGACTGCTGTTAAAGAAAAAAATGCTATTATTACCTTTAATAAAAGTGTATATGTAAATCATATACATATAATAATAATCACAATTCACTGAATATATCAGATTCAATAATGATTCTCAAAATGGGCTTTAACATCAATAGATATTGCGTCCATGAACACACTTGATATATTTGATATACAAAAGCACAATAACTTTATTATTTGATTTTAATTTTTTAACTTGTGGTCAATGTATTTCCATGCAAAATATGTTGCCCTTTAAATAAAATCTCTTTCTTATGTAGCTTAGTGGTTGGTAGGATTTTAAAAATGAAGAGTGAGGGTCTTTTTGCATAGTCGGAAAAGCTTCAAGTCTTAAAAAAAAAAAAACTATCTCAGCTTCATATCATTCACAGGTTTTATGATTATATTTAAATACTTCACCTTTCTAACTCCCAACCCATAAACTGAGTTTAAATATTCCACAATCCAGGTGGTTAGGAAGATAAAGATTAATATGCACAAAGTTCTTTGCACAGTATCTGTCCTACAGCAGGTTTCTAAAAAGGCCAGATGAAATTTGCAAATCACAGCTTCTATCCAGTTCACATGCACAGAGTTCTCAGATATTTAAATTCAAGGTCTCAGATTGGGACTTTGGAGGACATAGCCCTTAATTCTACAGAATATTACAGTGACAACCTAAAATCCCTTGCCCCTACCCCAGTGTTGAAGTTTCCAATACTACTCCTTATGTTACTCATTAGAAAAGAAGGTGCTATTGTGTCTTTTCATAATGGAAGAAAAAGTATTCAAATAATTTTTCAAATATATTTTCTTACTTTTTTTTAAATAAAAAATACTATTCACATATTCACTGTTCAAATTTTTTAATGGTGAATGTGTCACTGGTAATTTTTGTTAAATGCCCTTTGCATTATTTTGGCAGAAAGCTCTGCCCTCTAGGAAAGTAAGCCTATAATCATTTGAATGGGGTAAAAATGACGTATCTACCATAGATAGCTCCTCTGTCTGAACTACTCACTATTAGAATCGTACACCTAAGACAATGTTGTGAGCAGGCTGAGAATAAATGTTGATATATACTCTGTTAAGTGACATGGAAGGAAATTCTAGAAGCATATGTTGTATTCTTTTTTCATGAATAAAACAAAAGAAATAATCAAATTTATCAAAATAAGTACCACACTAGAAAGGCAGATAAACAGATCCTGAGATGACAAGCCAAATATAAAAAAAAATATAAACTAACTTCTTGAATATCGCTAAAGCTTTCCATTAATCTACTTTTCTCTCTTGAAAATTCCCATCCTTTTCCTGTGTCTGCATTGGAATACGAATAAATATAAAAGCAACTTAATTTTTACTATTCAAAAGTTTCATATTTGACTTGAAAAATACTTCATGGATTTAATAACTATTTTAATTTTATTTTTGAAGTCAGAAAAATTATTCATTAACCATCTTTATATTTGTAGTTTGGTTACTTTTGTCCACCACAAATTATTGCAAAATTAGAAATATTTTGGAAGAATCAATGATTTATCAAAATAAATGTGTTTTCAAAAATACTTTTAAATGCTCTTCCCTGAAAAATATGCTATCTTGTTTTGCAATATTTTTGGCCCCTTGATTCATAATTCTTCTATTGTTACAAAGTAGTTTTATATGAAAATAGGGAATTCGAATTTCTTTCAGTGGGGACAGTAGAGGATAATATGAAGAATTTAAATGATACATTGCTTCTTAAAAGATCCCAAAGCACAAAAAAGGAATGCTTCATATTACAGACAATATTGACCTTGGCAACAGATAAGACCTGCATTAAAAATACTAGCCCCCTGTAATCTGGACAAGTCAGAGAGTCTCAGTGACACTCAGTTTCTTCTTCTGTTAAATTAGAACAAGGACACTCAACTTAGTAAAACATAAGAAAAAATAAATGACGTGTATCCAATAGCAGACAAGCACTCGTAACAAATTACCTGCTTAGAATATGTGATACTCAGAAATTGTCATTTCACTATTCAACCGCTTTCCCTACATTTTCATGATTTCCAGACAATTAGTGCTATTAAGTTAATTAGTGCTTTCACAGGCAGAAAGAAAGTATTCACCGAGTGTTTTTCAAGACATTATGAAAAATCTCCCCACAACAGTACGTTATACAGCATGAGAAAAATAAATAATGATAATCAGCAAGGCAGTAGCAGGCATAGCAATGAAGAGAACGTACCTGAGAATAACTGTTTTGTTGGGGCACTGAGTTGTGCTTGCTTTGAAACTCTGTAAGCAGTATCTGAACCTTCTGAATTCTTTCTGTTTGTGCAAAAGCCCGCTGTTCTTGATATTCCCTCTGGAGAATTGTGAAAATCTAGAGCCTTTAGTACATCGACTGGAGCAGCTGAAAAGTAAGTTAAAAAAAAAAGAAAACAAATGGAACAAATGCGCTAATACTAAAATAAGTATTTTTTAACAGAGGAAATAGTTTGTAGCTCGAATCTATTTATCACGTGCCATGCTTCCCTAACATTTGGGTAGGGAAAGCTGAGGACTGGCGCAGCATGTAAAATATAAACCATAATATTCTCAAACACTAAATATCTCAAATAAGAAATCAAATGACAGAAAAGCAAAACAGATATTGAGAAAGCCAGCATCGGTATATATTCCACATATATTCCATTAATTTCTAATAGAATCTCTATTCAACTATTCATAATCTAAACAAAGGTGATTTTGAAGATTCAAACCCATAATGAATGTCATATATAAATATTGAAAAATATGCAGTTACTAAGCCATACTGTATACCCAGAGATAAAAGATGTCTAAAAGAATAGGTAGCAAAATATACTTCCCTTATTTTGAGTGCTTTCCCATGTTAGTTATTTACAAAGTATATACGAATATATGTGTACATTTTGTGAGAATGTATATATCTGAGTATCTGTGTGCACCTGTGTTAAGTGTGCATGAATATATGTGTCTATGTATAATTTGTTGATTTTTAATCCTGTAAATTTGCCAGAGTAACTTCATGGACATTGCTTCATGCTTTATGATTTAAATTGGAAGTCCCCTGGAGACAAGTAATTCTTTTTTTCCCCTTTTATGTAGCTGTAAGGTGTCTAGCGCAGGATTGTTCGTTGGCAGAAGCAGAAATTTCCCAAATCCAATCCATTTCCAGTGACCTCCTGCTACCATGAAGTGGTCAACATAAAATAATTTTGGAACCTTAAACCTCCCTTTTGTAAGTATAATCTTTTCGGGAAAACTCAATGTTTCAAACTGCTTTACTGGAATATAATTCACATACCATGCAATTCACTCATTTAACCTGTAGAATTTATTGGTTTTGGTATATTACACTTCTTATGCTATTCATTTTTTAAATTGCGGAAAAATATATACAACATAAGATTTGCCATTTTAACCATTTAAAAATGTACAGTGTAGTAGCATAACTACCTTCGCAATGCTGTGCAACCATCAGCACTGTCTGTATCCAAGACTTTTTCACTATCCCAAATAGAAACTGTTAATCATTCAGCATTAACTCCCTATTCCCTGCTTCTGCCCAGGCTCTGGCAACTGGTCCTCTACTCTCCATCTCTATGAAGTTGCCTATTCTAGAAATTTCATGTAAGTGGAGTCATATAATATTCCTCAAAATGCTAAACATAGAAGTACCATATTACCAAGAAATTCCACCGCTAGGTATATATTTAAACGAATTGAATGTCAGGACTTAAAACAGATACCTGTATGCAAATGTTCTTTGCAACGTTATTCACAACAGTCAAAAAGGTGAAAACAACCGAAGTTTCAATCAATATGTGAGCAAAATGTAGTACAGTCATACAAAAAAAGCCAAAAAAGGAATGAAGTTCTGATACATGCTACAACGTGGAGGAACCTTCAAAACATTATGCTACATGAAACAAACCAGATATAGAAAAATAAATGATTTCTTTTTAGACCCTGAAATTCCCTGGCCCACAACTAATTATGTACTTAATTCACTA